GCGGCCATGTCTCAATGGCTGCTCCGCCCATAATAAAATTCTAACTGGAAAATGAAAACAAAAAAAAATCGAAACTTTTGGCTTAGCCTTCGCGACTAAGGTTCCATTTAAGGAGTTGGCTTTGAAAAAGGAATAAAGGTAGCCTACAAACAACGAGGAATTTGACTGGCCAGAGCTCCCAAGTTTGCATTTAAGAAAATGATTATTTTGTAATTTTTTTAATTTACAAAAACTAACGTGACACACTTGATACATTGAACAAGTTAAATTAAAAAATTTTAACATATGTAGGTAATTTATAATTAATGAAATTTGTAAAAATTAAAAACGACCCCCACCCTTCAAAATCGCTTAATCGAGCTATATACCCAAAAAACGACTGACGAACACTTTGATTTTTCTAGGATTTTCGGCACAAAGTGCTCTATTTTCGGAAAATATGATCATAAAGTTTTCTTTACAAAATTATGATTGATATTCACAAAGAAGAGGAAACCAACCCCCTCCAAATCCTAGACTTCGGCGGCGGCGGCAGTTCAAAGATTGTCGAAGAGAGGCTTTGATGGATCATCGAATGAGTCAAGTGGTCCAAAGCAGAGGAGACAACGGCGACACAAGAACAGAGAAGAATCGAAAAATGGTTTGAAGAGAAGGCGCCAGTGAGAATTCAAGCAAGGAGGAGGACGCTGATGAAGAAATGATACGTTTTTTACTTGTGGTTTTGAATTTGATAAGAAAATTGATTGATTTGTGCGAATTTGGGGGATATGTAGTTGGTTTTATTGTTACAGTGGTTTGGCATTTTGTCGAGCAATTGGTAGCATCGAGTGAGTGGCTTTGATTGGGTTCCAGAGGATGGGGGAAGGCAAGGGAGTCGTACGGAGGTTGTTTATGGGAGGTGGAGGGCTGGGGATGGCAGGAGGTGGGGGACTGGGGGACTGTTACTCATGGAACCTGCCACAACAGCCTTTATAGGGCTTGCATTGGCTTCCTCGGTCCTCTCGAGGTCAAAAACACCCACTCCCTGATGCCCCGAAGCCCATATCCCCCAATTACAGCCTATTGTTGTTTTGGTTTCTTTTTTTGCTGATATTTAGTTATATCGATTGTGCAATTTTCCGAAGTGTAAATTATAAAGACTATGGGTTGGAGATTGTAAGCGATAAGGTACCGTACTTCCCCTGACGGGTGACAATTAGGTCGAGTTGACAAGTTTTAACAAATAATGGAGATTTTATAGGAACAAAAGAAGGGTATGGACGATTCAAAGAGAGTTTGTTTCGGTCATTTTGTGAGCATCGGAGAAAATTGAAAAAAGGCATTCTGGGGGCAGGAGTGCTTATATATTGTTGTACTTAGTTAAAAGGCAAAAAAAAAAAAAATAAAGTGTGTTCATGGTGGATGGGAACACTACATTTTGGGATGATGGAATATGCCCTGATGATAGGCTTGAGATGTGGGGCATTTCCAGATGCGGAAGAGCAAGAGAGAATAAAGAAGAATAGCAACCGATAACTTGGCTAAAAAGGTTTTGGGGGGGAAGGCGTCTATTACGTGACGCGATTTAGAGGAAAGGTTAGAAGAAGGGGGGTACACCTCTTCAGAGAAGTTCAAGATGTGTCTGGTATGGTTTGTGCATTCGCTCCTAATGCCTTTTGACTTAACAAAGTCTTGAATATGGATTGGGTGAAGTTGCAAGTAACGTGGACTTCTTTAATGCTTATTGTGGGGGACGGTATCATTTCAGCTAACCATGGACTCCCTGCAAGGAAAAGACATGGCCTTAAAGCATTGCTAATCTGTCGAGAAGAATAGACTGAGCACGTACAATTTGTTTGGCTTCGCACGGGCAATGCAGGTAATATCAATAGCTTTTTGTTATATTTTTTGTATTATATGTGTTTTAATTATGATATGGACTGTTTTTTCAATGTAGGCTTAGATGTATGAGGTTGTTCCTTATCCTAGCTAAGCCGGGGGGGAGGGAAGGGAGGAAGAAGACTTCGGATGAGTGACGCAATTTCCTAGGATGTTGCGATACATATCAAGAATGTACCCATTGATATTACGACAAATAGACATGGAAATTCAAGCAGCTCGAGTAAGATTAAAGGATTAATCTTTTGAATATGCACTTTCTTTAAATGTGGCTTAAATTTGATTGATTTTTTTCTTATTGTAGGGAGTCGTCTGTCCCTTCCTCACCATTCTAGGGGTGAGCGAGAGAGGATATGTTACATCGTTCAACACTGCACGATGCAGCAGATGAAGGGATAGACCGCCAAATCAGGACCTAAAAGGGATCACGCATGTGAGTGCAGTTGTAGGCCCTGCTTTAGAATGTTGTTACGACGAGGATGATGAAGCTCCAATCGGCGAGAGGGAGGAGGAGGATGAAGAGGTTAGTACGCTTCCACCTAATTGGCAAACTTGTACAATAAGTACCCGTTTGCCGAGGCGCGGGGTCGAGAGAATGAGGTGTTGACCTCATAAAAAGTTTGTTTGAGAGTTTTACAATAGCCGTTTATGAGAGGCTTAGAAATGGAAGAGCAATGAAGGGTGGAAGAGAAAATTGATAGGGTGAGAGAAAGTTATAGGTGATAAGAAAGTTGGTAGAGTGGAGGAGAAGTTGGTGGGGTATTAAAGTGGTTGAAGTGCAACTTACAAAAGAGAGAGCCGAAAGAGAAGCCATACTTTCTCCTTACACGGCAGCAACGTATGGAAGAGGAAAACGAATAAAAAAAAATGAGAAGTCTGTGAAAGTGGAGAACAAAAATGGAGGAGGGTAAGGAGGAAGGCAGAGAATGGGGAGTGAAATGGAGGAGGAAGGCGGAAGAGTGGGCAAGTGAAAACGGAGGAGTTAAAGGTCAATGTATAGGCCAATAGATGAGGAAAAGAAAAAAAACCCTTCTATGCCATTACAAAGATTCTGGAGTGATGGCATGTGAAGTGCAGACTGGGGATTATCCTCGAAGTGGTTTAAAAGATGTTGATAATGGATAGGGGCTCGAAGACTCGATGAGTTATTTTCCCTTATTTTTCCTTATTTTTGCTTATGTTTTCCATGAGGTATTGTATACTTATCATGTTGTTTTTATTTGCAATACATCAATAGGTATTAGCACTTATGAGGCTACGACAGAGCAATAATGGTGATATTTTGTATCTGTATTGTGCCATCACCGATGTAGCCTTTGCCAAACGCTAGTAACTACATATACATTTTAATGAAAAGGCCAATGGTGGGTGCAACAAAGGGAGGCAAGCAGAAAGATTGGCCACAGATGACTGACGGTGTCTTTGATATTTTTAGTTTGATGACAGATGATACAGTATGTATAGGGGGAAAGGCCCAATCATGGCAACAGTTAGCAAACGTTAAAAGAGTATACTGCATCATAAACATCAGGGATATGCATTGGATAACCGTCGTTGCACACTAGAGGAGGGCTTGCTGCAGATCCTTGACTGCAACCCAGTATTTGTCAGAGGAGGTAATTAGAGATGGAGTTACAGCCGCTATGTATATTGTTCCCACTACTGTTCGCGTAACAGGATGTTTCGGCACTTAAGTGATGAACTACTGACGGGAAAGTGTAATATACCCCAATATTTTGACGTCCCTTCTGATTTTTTTATTTTAATTTAAAAGTGATTAAACTAAACAATATTTTTATGTTTATTTAAAATCTCAAACTGTGGACTTTTTTCATATGCTTTTGTTGAATTTATTTAAGTTTATATCAGCTAAAAATAAAATTAGAAAATTCTTTATATTTATTCAAAAAAAAATATTTTCATAAATTCTGTTTTCTTGAACATTACTACACTACTTAAGAAAGTCGAACAAGGAAAACTAATCGACACTTATTGGGAGATTAGAGATAATTTCTAAACTACTACAAGTTTTTTGAAATTCGGACAAACATTGGGGGAGTTTAAAAATTAGGCATATTCTTATTCGCTGTGGTTAGTTCTTTTACAGGGTTTTTTAACAACTAATGATTTATTACCACGTATTCATACAGAAAATGGTCTTAACATCGACGGTTCTCGGACACCTTCGATATTAGATTTTATGACAGCATTCCGCTGGTGATGTAGAGGATAATTTTGCGTGAAAGGAGATGGAGAGTCGATGTATAGTACTGTGTTCGTGGCAATTGAAAAATGTCGCCACGTGGACATCGAACATGTGCGAGGAAAGAACCGTGGGGCCTACGTGAGTTTCAAGGTGACGTCGATCTCCTAAATTTTGTGGGACCCTATTAATACGCCTAGATTTTTTTCTTGTAGTCAAAGTATGGTCATCCGACGGCTGGAAATTCATGAACGAGATCGACGTCATGTACGTACTCATAAATGTAGCAAAAGGGTTGTCAAAGCATGGAGACGACCTGGCCAAATACAAGAAGAATTGAACTCAAATCTCTTATATTAGATTCATGAATACATACATGACTTAAATAATTTTTCAAACGCCCTTTCTGAGAAAATGCCACTTTAAGGACTAGTTTGTATCTTTGGAACAAAAATACAAGTTACAGACGAAACAGAACCCTTTGGTGAATGCATAACATGGACTGGAAAATTCCATAAGAGCGAAAGCATTGGTCGGAATTTCCTTGCCAATTCATTTGTTCAGTTACTTCAGTATTCCCCTGTTGCGTGAGAGTGATATCAGTCACTTCAAATTTTGTTTATTCAATTCATCTGTTAATGATAAAGATCTGTTTTACTTTTACTTAGAACATTTGTTATCAATTTCAGCAGCTAACACTTAAATGACTTGAAAATTACAATCTCTAGTTTAACACAGTATTTCGCAATATGCTAATGGTGAGGGGAACAAGCAAATTTATTCCATGTGAAGTACTGTGACCTCGCGAACTACTGCATATCAAATTTTAGTATATATTAATGCATCAAAATAGAGAAACACATCCAAAGAGTTTTGTAAGTTCGGCAAATTTTCAGGTAGTTTGCCAGATTATAAACTTTTAAGCTCGCTTCAGCACAATCACCATGATCGCCATAATGGCCAGTCCAATGGCCTTTTCAAAATAGTTTGCTTTGGCATCTGCTTCTGCTGGTTTGCCATCTGCTTCTGCATAAGTCTTATCAGCTGCGGGTGTGCCAAAGATGTTCTGTAGATAATTACCCACATTGCTCACCATCTCAACCACTCGATCGCTGGTTGTTCTTCCCAATTCAACCACACTATCCTTGGTTGTTCTTCCCAATCCAGCCACCCTATCCTTGGTTGTTCTTCCCAATTCAACCACCCTATCCTTGATCTTCCAAAGAACAGCCATGGGCTTGAACCGGCTTTGGCCTCCACTGTCTCCAGAATGGCTTAAAGTATCTTCTTCTTTGCTCAAATCAGATAATTCCTCAATCTCTCCGGGAGATCCCTGATCTTGAAACATATTATCTGCAAAAAGTTAACCCATGCTCAGATCCATATCAAAGGAAAGCTGGTCAAAAAAAAATTTAAAAGTATATGCACTCAACTGCATCCTTTCCACCAAAGATCCTCTCAAGAAAACTAGTTCTGCTAATAAAAATCTAACGAAAAAAAAAAAAAATCTTACTGTTTTTCTGGGACTGTATGAATTGGATCAGATCTTCATTTTGCATGACAGCATTCCAGACATTTGAGTCAGTAGCAATTGATGCAACAACAGTCTGGTCACAAAACCAAAATTAAAAAATTATTGTCAAAGCCAATGATCTAAAAGTACCAACTCAGTTGGCGAAAATAACACAAAAGTCTTCACATAACTGAACTGCTAAAGATATGCATTCAAAAACATAAACAACTATAAGCAACTAAAAAGAGAGAGGGAACTGAATCAGAAAGACCTGAGCTGAAGCATTCTCGCGAAGGAATTCAAACGCCTGAATCGCATGTTTTGGTCCGGTAACAGATTTTGGGTCACATGAGATACAGCTCTTGGTCTCCAAAGATTCAGAGTTTGCAACCAATGGCAGCCCTGACACCGCAGCAACCGGCAATACACCATCATATTCACTCACACTGGAATTCTCAGATGAAAAATATACCCTGCAATCAAACAAAATCCATCTATCAAACACCAAGGGAACACAATCAATTCTGAAAAGTACGCAGTTTTACCATAACTGTGGGTATAGATACCCTTAAAAATCTACCACAATAAATTTATATGTTAATAATTAGTGTGATCATATTTAAATTACCATTTAAAGATACGGATGTGGTACACTAACACATGCAATTAAAAACAATAAAAGCTTTGAATAAATATTCACACGGATCAGAATTTTGGAAAACAAAATCACTTTTTCAACGCTTCTTTGAGTTCGGACGTGGCTTCCTTAGCCTCCTCCAGGCTTGGCGCACCCCCAAATATAACCCTAGCTATTGGCTCAGACGATTTCGGCTCTGGTGCCACCAGAAAATCATTTTCTCCTCCGGCGAACCCCCAGTCATCCAATTCCCACAAGGCTTTCTGCGCCTCCGCAACGTCACCTCCAGCGGAAACCTTCCCGCTCGACAAGATTCCGCCTATGGGTCGCGAAGCGTTTCGCAGGGATTGTGATGCGGGCGGGGCCGTGGCGGTTGCAGAAGACAAGCCGCCACGAATCCCACCGCTGAAAACGCCTACCCCGGCGACCTTACCGGCGGCCATGGCTCTAATGGCTGCTCCGCCTCCCATAATAAAATTCTAACTGGAAAATGAAAACAAAAAAAAATCGAAACTTTTGGCTTAGCCTTAGCGACTAAGGTTCCATTTAACAGTTGGCTTTTGAAAAAGGAATAAAGGTAGCTTACAAACAAGAAACAACGAGGAAATTTGACTGCCCAAAGCTCCCAAGTTTGCATTTAAGAAAAGGGGAAACAACTTACACCTACCCAAGGTTTGGCGAAACGACATTGGTACCCAAAAGGTTTCAAAACGATAAACAAGTACCTTTCATCATGTGTTTTTAGTGATTTCCGTTTGCTAGTGGTGAAAAGACTAGAATACCCTTGAAAGTTTGATATTTTAGTTTTTTAAAAATTTTTAAAAAACCCCCTAGGTTTGCTAATTTAACTGAATACTCCAATATATAAAATTTTTTATAAAATGATAAAAACACCCCCACCACCGCCGTGTCAGATTCCGGCCACCACCACCAGAATCTGGCCGAAAAATTACGTTACACCACAGATTCGTCGGATCTGGTGGGTAGGGCCTAGATCTGGCTGTCGACGGCCGCAACACTCCAAAAGATGTGGTCGTCATTGTCTGTCAACGATGGCCAAGATTTGGCCGTCACTTTTCGGCCAGATCTGGCATTTTCATGTCAGATCTGGCCTTTTTCAGCCAGATTCACTGTGGATCTGGCCGAAAAAAGCTAGATCGGTGAATTACCGACAATATTTGGTGGTGGCATAGACCGTTGTGATAGATTCCGGCTACCACCGACGGTGGCCGTCAGAATCTGGCAAGTATGGGTGGGTGGGGGTGTTTTTGTTAATTTTTAAAACTTTTTTCTAGGGGTATTTGATGAAATTCATAAACTTAGGGGTCTAAAAATAATTAAAAAAATAGACTAATATTTCTCAAAATGCATTCTAGTGTTTTCACTATTAGGAAACGGATATCACTAACAGAACATGACGAAGGTACCTGTTTGTCATTTTGAAACCTTTTGGGTACCAATCTGTCGTTTCGCCAAACCTTGAGTATGCATAAGTCATTCGGCCTTAAGAAAATGATACTGAAAATATTTTGTAATTTTTTTAATTTACAAAAACTAACGTGACACACCTATGATTCATTAAAACAAGTTAAATTAAAAAAATTTAAACATATGTAGATAATATTATAATTAATGAAAATTTGTTTAAATTTTGAAAATTAAAAATGACCCCACCCTTCAAAATCGCTTAATCGAGCCATATACCCAAAAAACGACTAACAAACACCTTTGATTTTTCTAGGATTTTCAACGACAAAAGTGCCCTATTTTCAGAAAATATTTGATCATAAAACTTTCTTATACAAAATCATGACTGATATTCACAAAGAAGAAGAAAACCCAACCCACTCTAAATCCTAAACTCCGACGGTGGCGGCAGTTCAAAGGTTATCGAAGAAGAGGCTCTGATGGATCATCTAATGAGTCAAGTGGTCCAAAGGCAGAGGAGACAACGACGACACAAGAACAGAGAGAAGAATCGAAAAATGATTCTGAAGAAAAGGACGCCAGCGAGAATTCAAGCAAGGAAGAGGACGCTGGTGAAGAAATAGTACGTTTTTTACTTGTGGTTTTGAATTTGATGAGAAAATAAATTGATTTGTGCGAATTTGGGGGATATGTAGTTGGTTTTATTGTTAAAGTGGTTATGGCGTTTTGTCGAGCAATTGGCAGGCATCGAGTGAGTGGCTTTGTTTGGGTTCTAGAGGATGGGGGAAGGCAAGGGAGGTCGTACAAAGGTTGTTTGTGGGAGGTTGGAGGTGGGGATGCAGGACTGGGGGGGCGCTGGAGGGCTGCCCTGCATAGCCCCCATATTCCGCCACCTATTGCCATCCTCAGCCCTCCAACCTCATGGAACCTACCACAACAGCCTCTGTAGGGCTTGAATTGGCTTCCTCGGTCCTCTCGAGGCCAAAAACACCCACTCCCCGATGCCCTCGAAGCCCATATCCCCCAAATTGACAGCCTATTGGTTGTTTTGGTTTCTTTTTTTTTGCTAATATTTAGTTTATATCGATTGTGCATATTTTCCGAAGTGTAAATTATAAAGACTATGGGTTGGAGGTTGTAAGCGATAAGGTACCGTACTTCCCCGTGTAAGGGTGACAGTTAGGTCGAGTTGACAAGTTTTTACGAGAATAATGGAGATTTTATAGGAACAAAAGAAGGGTATGGACTGATTCAAAGAGAGTTGTTTCGGTCATATTGTGAGCATCGGAGAAAATTGGAAAAAGGCGTTCTGGGGGCAGGAAGTGCATTATATGTTGTTGCACACAGTTAAAAGCTAAAAAAAAATAAAATGAAATGTGGTTCATGGTGGATGAGAAGCCATTAAGTTTTAGGATGATGGAATATGCCCTGATGATAGGCTTGGGATGTGGGGCATTTCCGGATGCGGAAGAGCAAGAGAGAATAAAGAAGAGTAGGGTAGTCGATAACTTGGCTAAAAAGGTTTTGGGGGGGAAGGCGTCTATTACGGGACGCGATTTAGAGGAAAGGTTAGGAGAAGGTGGGTACACCTCTTCAGAAAAGTTCAAGATGTGTCTGGTATGGTTTGTGCATTCGCTCCTAATGCCTTTTGACTCAACAAAAGTCGTTAATATGGATTGGGTGAAGTTTGCAAGTAACGTGGACTTCTTTAATGCTTATCCGTGGGGATGGGTATCATTTCAGCTAACCATGGACTCCCTGTAAGGAAAAGACATGGCCTTAAAGCATTGCCAATCTGTCGAGAAGAATAGACCGAACACGTACAATTTATTTGGCTTCGCATGGGCAATGCAGGTAAATATCAATAGCTTTTTGTTATATTTTTTGTATTATATGTGTTTTAATTATGATATGGACTGTTTTTTTACAATGTAAGCTTGGATGTATGAGGTTGTCTTTGTCCTAGCTAAGGCTGGGGAGGGGGGAAAGAGGAAGAAGACTTCGGATGAGCGACTGCAATTTCCTAGGATGTTGAGGTAGCATATCAAGAAGTGTACCCATTGGGATTACGACAAAATAGACATGGAAATTCAAGCAGCTCGAGTAATATTAAAGGATTAATCTTTTGAATATGCACTTGCTTTTAAATGTGGCTTAAATTTGATTGATTTTTTTTCTTATTGCAGGGAGTCGTCTGTCCCTTTCTCACCACTACTAGGGGTAAAGCGAGAGAGGAGTATGTTACATCGTTCAAAGCACTAGACGATGCAGCAGATGAAGGGATAGACCGCCTAATCAAGACCTAGAAGGGATCACGCATGTGAGTGCAGTTGCAGGGCCACTGCTTGAGAATGTTGTTGATGACGAGGATGATGAAGCTCCAATCGGCGGGAGGGAGGAGGAGGATGAAGAGGTTAGTACGCTTCCACCCAATTGGCAAACTTGTACAACAAGTACCGCTTTGCCAAGGCGATGGGATCGAGAGAATGAGGTGGTTGACCTCATAAAAAGTTTGTTTGAGAGTTTTACAATAGCCGTTTATGAGAGGTTTGAGAAGATGGAAGAGCAGATGAAAATGGTGGAAGAGAAAATTGATAGGGTGGAGGAGAAAGTTGATAGGGTGGAGGAGGAAGTTGGTGGGGTATTGAAAGTGTTGAAGTGCAACTTGAGCATAAAAGAGAGAGCCGAAAGAGTAAGCACGTAATTTCTCCTTACACGACAGCAATGTGTGGAAAGAAGAGGAAAAAAAATAAAAATAAATGAGGAAGTCTGTGAAAGTGGAGAAGCAAAAATGGAGGGTGGGTAAGGAGGAAGGCAGAGGAAGTGGGGAAGTGAAAATGGAGGAAGAAGGCAGAAGAAGTGGGCAAGTGAAAACGGAGGAGTTAAAGGTCAATGTATAGGCCAATAGATGAGGAAAAGAAAAAAACTATTCTATGCCTATTACAATGATTCTGGAAGTGATAGGCATGTGAAGTGCAAGACCGGGGATTATCCTCAGAAGTGGTTTAAAAAGATGTTGACAATGGGCAAGTGGCTCGAAGACTCGATGAGTTTTTTTCCCTTATTTTTCCTTATTTTTGCTTATGTTTTCCATGAGGTATTGTATACTTATCATATTGTTTTTATTTGATGCAATACATCAATAAGGTATTAGCACTTATAAGGCTACGATAGAGCAATAATGGTGATATTTTGTATCTGCATTGTGCCATCACCG